AAATTGCTTCAATCAGTCTTTCACCACTTTTTCGCCTGCCTTTATTGTCAATGTTTATTTCTTGCCTTACCGTTTGATCAGGAGTTCAGACAACCAACGTGTTTGAGTGCGAATTCTCTTTAGAAAGAGATTTTTTTACCAATGAGCGTTATTTCTCCCTTTCTCTTTTGGTATATGTGCCCTGAGTTTTTGCGCCGGAACTAGTTCCGGAGCTCCTTTACACGATACGTTGAATTCTGTTGGCCGTACTGACTGCCACACCAACAAACTTTCCAACTTACATGGACGGATTTGTGCGTTCACATATAGGTCGACGAATAAGCCTAGTAGCAAGAGTATATCGCCTCGATAGGGGGTAGATAGCGTTTTTTCGATATAGGTATATCGAGTGGATAGCGTTTTTGTCCGGCGGTTGTATATCGAGTAGATATCTAATTTTCTATATACTCGAAAAACGACTGCAGCATCACGGTTAGCCATTTACACGACCCTTTTCCCACGGAAATACCTTCGTTTTATACTAAATCGACCTATATTGATTCTGTCCGCCCTCCCCATCCTCCTAAACCATTTATCGTAGTCTTAGTCTGCATGACAAACATATAAAATAGCGCAAAGTACCCACAACACTTCAAAGCCGTAAGCACTTAAGTGCTTATTCACGCATACCTTATCTTACATAATAGTATGGTTTAATTCTCTTTTGCTAATACCGGGACCAGTTGGCATGCTCTTGCTGATTTATGCACTAAAGCCTCAATATCAAGGGATTACTGACAGGTATTGAGGCTAACTACCTGCCTTTTCGCCTCTGCTGTATTAAAAACCAGAATCCTTTTCTAAGGATCTCCACGAAAGTGATACTTCTATCTTGACCGGTACCGGAGTTAACGCGCGATAACTCCGGTACCGCGCGGGCAGCGCTCTAGAAACCGGATATTATGACTAAACCGTAGTTGGTTGGTAGGCAGCCACGTCAACGTAAGTTTCCAGTTGTTCTCGTATCTATGAGAACAGTCATGTAACCAGCTTCCTAGCTCCGAAGGTTTGCCTGCCAAGACCTCGACGTCAACAGCACATTTGTTCTCTTCGATATATCTTTTGCCGTGAATCGGCACATCAACGTTCAGTATTCCCACCTCTGGCGCGATAGACGGCGTGCAACGACACCGAAATAGAGAAATCAAGATTCGAACTGCAAACTCATTAACTCTCCTGTCTATCAATTTATATTCTGGCCACTTGGATGTAGGATGTTTTTGCTGAGAATTTCGGAGGTGTGCTTTCCAACTGAAGCGTATTTCTCTCCCTCTCTCAAGAGATGCCATAGCACGCTTAGTGTTAATTTCTTAGATGTTCTTAACATAGAATCAACACGTGATTCCGTCAAGAGGAACCCTCGCACCATTGACAACACCACTAGCCTGGCACAGAAATGCAATGACTGTTGTGCATGGACCTGACCTCGAATCAAACACTTCATCGACAATGATAGCTGGATATGCAGGCCAGTCGCAGGCGGCTGATGAAGAGGATTTTCCCTAAGCAGTTTGCATTTTGTTTGAATATGCAGGGACTTGCAATTTCTTGGGGCTACTGTATCGCACCATGAATTGCATCACAGGGTGGTACGCGGTCTTCTGAATGTCCTACTACGACTGCGGCCAACGCATACTGAAAGTGAACAATATTTTGTCCAATACTACAGTGCTGCCTGCATTGATGCTTGAAGTCGATTGCAGTCGTACATCATGCTTACGGCTGTCGAAAGTTTGGTAAGAAGGCTGAGTATGCACCCCATGCCATTCCATCTCAGTGTATCTGAGGGCTAATTCCTGTCTAATGTTCGCTGCCGTTACTATTAACAGGTGGACAACAGCGTTTTTTGTTGGACGGAAGCTTGTTTAATTCGCCACACGCCAATAAAGATCCATGTTGGAGTGAACTGCCTTTCTGCATCGTAAATTGTATCCTTTTTGGTTTTCTAGGCGGTGTCTGAAGAAATTTTAAAGCACTTGCCCTCAACTGAATGCCCTCTCCTGGCCCGAGGCATTGGAAAACTGTGGCCTGCTGTACGAAACTGGAACTTAAGTTATTTATCAAAGAATGTTAGCGGTAAAATCCAATTCCGAATGGGCCGTAAGGGGGGCACTATAGTTCAGCGTGAGTGCGATGCTGTCTACGTTTCTGCTACTGTTGACGAGTTCTCGCAGTGGGTCAATAATTCGTGTCAACAGTATAATCCGTTTGTTGATTACCCGTACAGCGAGTGGTGGGCCTACGCCAGTTACCTTCACATGCCTGCGTGCCCTCCATTAATGGGTCTTATTAAAGACGTCCCATGGAATTCTTTTCTCCCATGCTTTCCAAAAAGCAATGACTCCACCTTCTGGCTCGGCACATCAGGCTCATACACCGCCTGCCACTACGACACATACGGAGTAAATTTCGTCCTCCAAGTTTTCGGGCAAAAGCGCTGGATCTTATTCCCTCCCAGTGACACACCGTTTATGTATCCTACTCGAATACCATTGGAAGAGTCGACTGTCTTCAGTGAATTGAACTTCCAGCTAGTGGATTTTATAAACTTCCCACTTGTTCTCAACACATCGCCTATGGTGGTTGTTCTGAAGCCTGGTGATGTGCTTTTCGTTCCCCGACACTGGTGGCACTTTGTGGAATCAGTAGAAGATGATGGTCCCGTGACCTGTGCCATTAATATTTGGCTAGATCAACCATCCCTAGATAACGATGAAAGGTGCAAGGAGTCGTTGACACAGCTGGTCTGTTTATCTCTCATGCATTCGTCCAAGGACAAAGGAGTTTTCCAATCTTTGCATTTTCCTGAGCGAGAATTGGCTCTGTCCCCAGACTGGTTCGAAACACTTAAAAACGCTTTAAGGGTCAATCTTCGTACGTCTCTACCGAGCGTTTCTAGTCCAGAACCTCCCGCCGAAACACACGAGCTTGATTCAGTGGACTGGGTGGTCCCTCCAACTTGCGACATCGTTGATATTTTGCCTGAATTACAGAAGTTGGATGCCCTACCTGCTACTGATTCGTTTTCTACTGAGAAACTTGCTCGTGCCTTCACAGACCCTGAAGTTATAAATCTCGTATTTTCGAAGTTTTTTAAAAAGTAATAAACCTCTTCACAAACCCGTTTTTTAAACTTCCGGTGCATATGTACACCTACGACAGTCCAACCATTCCGTGTATAATTTCAGTCTACGGTAGCCAGTCAACCGGGCGCTTCCCTCGGAGCACCGATCTCGGGAAGATTAGTACTCAGATGCAAGTCCCCATCAGGTCAACTGGACATCGAGTTAACATCTGATTCCACAGTCGGAGACTTGGCAGACAAAGTATGTTCCCTCACTGACTTGAAGAGAAGTAGCCTGTCGCTAAGATACGGCTATCCGCTAAAACGGCTCGATCTCAGTGCTGAAAACTGTTCAAAGCCTCTCATTCAGGTAATGTCCACACGCTCATTTTATGCTAGACTGAGTTCCTCAGAGAATCATTTACCACTTAGATATGTATTGGGGCGAGCCAATTTCGGACGTCTATTAGCCGCCTGGTCACCGGGCAAAGTCAGAAGAACGATCACGTTCAGTAACTTCATCTTTAAAATAATCATTTATAAGGTGGCAGTTTTCTTGCTGGCCACCACCTCAGTTGCCCACTTAACCCTAGATCCCCCAGAGCTTACAGCTTGCATCGGTAGTCCGACGTATGTGAACGAATTCTGCGTTTATTCTTGGCATTTTTAGCAGAATACTGTGAGAGAAGTTATTGAGGCCAAGGTGATCTCGGGCGCTATATTTTTTTCATAAACGACCACATACGTAGCTGCTAAGCCAACCATTTCGTCCTCGGGGTTTCCGGCAGCTTTTTAGGTCGGCTTCGTAAACTTGTTCAAAACGAGCCATTTCAACTGGCAATAGCTTAGATTATTAGTGTGGGAGGACGTGTGCTCGATTATCCAGTTGGATAAGCCCTGATGAGATCAGTCACAACCTCAAGCTCCTAAGTCCCTCATTATACTAGCATCGTGCTTCCGATTGTTCTTAACACATCGGATTTTCCTGCGCTTGAATAACCCGAAAGTTGAATTTCTCCCACTGATTTGTCCTCACCCAGTTGAGTATACTTTTTCGACACAAAAGATACGTTTATTTGCTAATTCAGGGTAGCACGGAAAATCCAAACACCGATTAAGTAGGTTTCATATCCTACCGTCGTTGATTGAAAGCGTTGTAAAACGTCACCATCTGGTCTCTGATGATAGTCCTATTCCCGTATTACAACTTGCCTACATTTTCCTTCATATTGCCTTTTACCGTTCTCTATCATTTCTAATAGTTGCAACATTTCTTATGCATTTGGCCAGAATTTGGTGTCCTCCCAAGTCTGGTTGCTGAATCCAATTTCTTCTGACTTACTGGCCCACATATGTATTTTCAGGTGCCCATTCACAATGGTGAAAGCATCGTCGCGGACTCGACTGAGCCTCGTCCGGCCAGTAATACAACTGCTGCGGCGTCCAGTATACCCGTTACCCAACCGTCTCTCGTTCGGTTAATTGCTCCCTCCGACAACTGTTGCCTGTTTACAAGTGTTAGCACTTGTGTCGAAAACGGAGACAGTTTAAGGCCAATTGACGCTCCTGTCGTGACTAATGCTGAAGGTGTGCAAGAGACAAGAAATCTGATTGCCAGCTTTGTCCTGAGTTATCCGGAAACATTTAACCAAGGAATTCTCGGAATGGCTCCTGAAGCCTACATTCAAAATATAATGCGGGTAGGGTTTTTATGCTCTTAGAGTTCTTGGGCTTATGTTACTTTACAGCTGCTGCATACAAGCAAGTCGTTTCAACTGCTTTTTTGCTATATCTCTAGTCTAATGTATGATTCCTCCCTGCTTTCTATGTCTGTAGCCAGATTGCTGGGGCGGTGGGATCGAGGTTTCCATTCTTTCTCAAATCTACGAGCTTGAAATTAATGTTGTCGACGTACTCACAGGTCGAATTGACAGGTTCGGCGAAGACAAAGCCTATCAGCAGCGCATTCTTCTCCTTTATGACGGAATTCACTACGACCCTTTGGCAATGAGGCATCCGAACAAGGGTACCGTTCAGACAATCTTCCCTACGACTCTGAATTCTGTGAGTTCCGTTCGTTTGTAAACTCTGGATCACGTGATTTCATACCAGCTCTCGAAAATTACAGTTACCGAATTCAACTCGGAAACGCGCACTTCACCCCCGTTAGTTGTGGAGTGAAGAATGCCCGAGGAGTTTCCTAGCGGATTTTAGGAGTTTTGCGAATAATGTGTCTCAAGTGTTCCTACTCGTAAGGCCATATCTTAGCCTCAGTGACGAGATAGACCACAGCTCTTCTGGTACTCTTGGCATAATCGTTAGCCTCAGCGAGTCATGTTTTCTGGGTCTCACACATACTGAGGACTCACTGCATTTCTATGGTACGGCTGTCGTAATACGTGATATAGCCGGCACTCGGTGGTCGCCGATAGAAAAGGGGATAGGTCAAGCTGCCCATATCCACTGCCGCAGATCGGCACGCATGGGGGTACAATCAACGTTTTCTTGTTCACCACAGTGACCACTTTCGGACGGTTGCCATGCCAATTTTCTAGTTGTTATCAAAATAGAAGCTATTATTATGACATTGGGGAGGTTGTCGTATACAATAACTCGCACAACAGTGGTGCTTACCATGTCTCAGTCGTAGTAGTGATTTCTACTAGCACACCATCGGGTTCCATTATCTGCCGAAGGGACTAACAGTAAACGGAATTTAACGTCGCAGTCAAGTCTATAAAACAAACGGCCGACATTTGTTCATTGGTATGGATGTTTGATTGATGCGTCCGCGTCGAGCTCGGAACTCTGCTTGATTATATCTCTTCGAGTTATGCACAACTGAGTCATTTTACAATGAAAGACCTTTGGAATAGTGGTCTTGGAGCACTTCGTCCTATCTCCCGTCTTGAATACAAAGACAACTGCGCTCCAGTCGTAGGAAACTATCTTATCTCTCCATCATATGGAACCGAAGAGCCACGGTGTCCACTTTAGCAGGAAGTGCCGTCCTCTCCGACGATCTGTTTTAGTGTGTGCGATTTCTACACGGCAGAGCGGGTTACAAGAAGTTACATGTTAAACCAAGACAAGAGTTTGCTCGCTCGTGGTGAGAAATGACGATGGGCTGGTCGTCAAGGTTCGGACGTTGGTCAAAGTATTCAACCCGAAATCCTGCTCTGGCTGAATTGTTACCAATGAAGTCGGTACACACACTTCGATCAGCCATTTGATCTAGGAGACTTACCACTTCTCTCGTGGATAAGTCGACAGTTTTCGAGTATCGTTGACGCCCAGTAGCAATTGGTGGGAGTCAAGTCTGCAAAAATTTGCGGCAGTGCTGGATGCATGTGTTGGCGGCAGAAGGCTGAAAAGTAGTCAGCACATAGAGCCAGACCCAACGTGGTCTGTTAGCGACAACAACCATCAGATCACAGCAGATTTGTATTTGTCAGTTTTTGCAGGTGCGAAAATGTGTCTATCGCGCTTGCCTCACAGGCTTTTGCGTCCACACCCGAGGGTGATATAGCATAGTCGAACCTTGGAACCCATAGACACATCTTCATTAAGATTGTGACACACCGAAGGCCACGACTTAGCCGGGATGCGCGGGCATCAATATGGTCCTGATATCCTCTGAAGCCAACTTGATTGATTAAAGTGAAATTCGTTCATTACTTCGCTTTTCTATCTTGTGCACAATGTAGGCAACGCATATGTACGTCAGTGACCGATTCAATCTCCTTAGAAGGGCTTTGGAGCCATATATTTTTCACCAGGTCGATTTTTTTCGGGCTCCACACCCACCTTAAGCCGCTGTCCTCTGGTAGTCTTTTAAAGCGCGATGTTCCCCCATACAGAACACTGATTCATGTCGTATTCCTGACCTAGTCGTTTACACAAGCTCCAATTGTCTACATTTTCTTCTTCACCTTTCCTGCTTATGCATCACAAACAGCTGCCTATGCGGATCGCTTAAGTCCCTAATTGCTTTATACCTTGATTTTTGCACTGTTTTTTTGGGACGAGCGCCTTCAAATCGTGCATGTTTGTGGGCTATAAACTGGGCCCTGCTTTAAGCACATTTAGCCAGGCCTTGTGTGTGCGTGAGTCCCCACACCATAATTACAGATGTTTTCTTCTCTTAGAAGGTTCTAAATGCAAGCGGCTAACTCGAAAATAGATGGCTTTTCGGTCAAATGCATTTCGAGTGTACAATGTCCGCTTCAGCGAAATACGCTGTTTATGCGATTTTGCGAACCCCTACCAACTTTGGACGTAAAAGACATAGTTCGCCAGTAGTGAGTGTTATCACTTCACTTCCCGTCCTTTTCGCTGTTACTTTTTTGCAGATTCTCGACGATGCAAGAGCCCTGGCAGACTCCGTCCGCAAAGCCGGTCTTTTCACCGACTTAACTAACTGTAATCTCATGTGCACGATATGTCGAACACCACTCAGGGGACAACAGGGGGCCCAACAACACGCAACCTCAACCGGCCATATGCAATTCCAGGAACGAATTTGACTGTCGGACGCTCCGGAGACCGGCCGTGCGCACTAACGCCTCACTTTGATCCACCTTATTTTAAGACATCTGTGTTTTTTCACGGCCGTGCTCCGCGTCACTTGGGCGTATTACCTAGTATATATTACTTTTCTCACATGCCGGGCGACTTCCACACTGCGGGTCAGTGCTGAACTGACCGGTTTTGGATGCGCATCGGGTCCTGTGACCTTCTTCGCGTGAAAGCAAATGTGCACTTTCAGTTACTGTCACCGTAACAAGGTGGCTAAAATATACGCGAATCAAATGAGTCCGTTTTATGTCGTGGCCCACGACTGCTCTGCAGTTGCTATAGAAGTTAAATCAAAGCCGGGGCCGCCAGAACTGCAGACGCCAAATTCTATGATTATAATCTTACAAAAATACCAACGTCAGCATCATACCGCTTATGCGGAGTCGTGATGGCATTCATGACGAAGCTTATCCTTTTTGATGCAGCGAAACCGCACTTTAGCCCGGCCGCCTCTGTGGCGTCCTTAATCAATTTTAGGGGGTTGGCAAAAAGCTGTAGTGCATGATCCAGTCAAATTTTTCACACCAGTTCGGCAAGTACACTGTAAACATCGTGACCGTCCCACACCAGTGTCTTATGGATCTCTGCTGACGGACCGTGCGACAAATACACAAGAGTCCTCTGGAAGTTTTACCACAAAATATATGACGTCCGAAATTCGCCGGTCATCTCCGAATGTCGGTGACTGCGCAAAAAATACCAAGGTGGTGCCGTGAAATCAGACATGCAACTCACCGTATGACTCGGGTATAGCACGGCCTCCGGGGTGGGCTCGTCCATAGTGGAGTTTGAGACGTTTTACAAAGCGAAAGGAAGAAGTCGAATGAGAACGAAGTTGACGTGGCCGCTCGTCCGGCCCTACGTCGTTTCACGGAATACCAGGAAATTTAGATAGAAGATAACTGCAGGATGAGTAAAGTGCTGTACTTTGTTCACTGTAGGATGTAGGAAGTGGTTTTCGGTCGTCTTCAATCGCGCAATAGTTACACGTAGTGCTATCCTTGTGTAGGAATAGTCCATTGTTTAGACGCCCCAAGACAACAGTGGCCTAGGGATCGGAAGTTCAGTCTAAATGTCTCCGCTATTAAAGAACCTCGCCCCGCGCCGACAGTCGAACATTGATTATTATGATTGAAATGAACTGTGAGTCGAAACATGAGGGTGTTAAGATAAGAAATTGCGTGTATACCGGTAGTAGTTGAAACTCCGAATTATGTATCCTCAGGGGTAGCCCAGAACAAGGTTAGGAATAAATGCGGACTGCGTCACAAATAATAGGAAGGAAGGGATCGTCGGTATTCGTTGCTTATTTCTGCAACCTGGTCCTCAGAAAGGCCGTTCAGTTCGGGCAGGAGATTTGGAATGCCGATGATGTGGAGTCGTGCTGACTGGAAAACGTGTTGTTGCAGATCAAAAAATTTCATCGGACAAGGTTCCGGAAGAGGTTCCTACAAGATGCAGTTAGTATAGGGTGGTCACCAGTTGTTAGCAATTGCACTATGCAAAAGCTATTGACAGGAGGACTCAACAACTATGGGCACTTAATCACATTGTAGGTTGAGGGTGAACAGGTGCGTCGTAATCATTTATAAATACCTCCACTTTTGCTGTGAAAGCATGGGTTCCCTTGCTTCGTCAGATCAGAGGATAGCAACGTACCTGATTGAGTACTACACAGTGAGTTAGCTTGTCGGCTATCTTTGCTTTACTAGGAGCATAAAGAATTCGGGAAGTCGGCACGTTGCTGCTCAATGTGAACGTCATACTGATTAGTTTTTGTTTGCGAGTCACCGCACAAATGGCTGAGGACGAGCGTGAAAACTACCTTAAGCTGGTAGTGCTCAAAGACTGCGAGGCATGACATTTTTTCTGAAAGTCGAGTTGGCAAAATGCGTAGCTGGTACTACTGAGAAGAGCGTGGATGACAGCCGGAAGGCGACTCCAGCCAACTGTTCTGTTATCCAATCACATGAGTGATCTCGGTAAATTATGAGCTGGGAACTCAGTTTTAGTAGGGTCCGATGGCGTTTTTAAGGGTAGCGCATGCTAGCAAAGCAAGACCTGCCGGATTTCAATATGGGCAACATGCTCTGCATCAGGATGCCATGTCCACTTCTACCAGATTGCCGATACAGCTCATTGCACTGAGGAATCTTAAAAATCAGGCCTAACTTATAGCGCTGTCAGATGGAACGCGTTTGAGACCTTGGTCAGTTACCCCACGATTCAGTGTACTTATGTACAGGGCGCGTGGTCGCACAGCGCATACTCTTAAACTTCGGATAGCAGATGTGAACAATCCCTGGATCAACAAAGAGTGGGATAGTTCCACCTTATATTCCATGCAGTCTGCCCACTAGGGCCTGACGCTTTCCGCAAAGCACCCTGGAGAGCATGTCTCGCTCTGGGCTGGTAGTCTAAGACCGAAGACGTGCCAGAGACAAATTTCGTCCATGTTAGAGCGACAAAGCGTCTGAACATAGCGAGGCGAAGGTTATTGGAAGTGGAGGAATGCATGAACTCATTGGAACCGCACGCCCTCATAGGTTGTGACCTTTTGACAGTACGCGGTCAACGATTCGGCTGGACTCCGGATGTCGTGGTCAGAGACAGTTTCGTTGTTTACATCGGAAGCCTGCATCGCGTGGATACTAGCACTAAAATGATCCAGCGTGCTTGCATATTTATGTGGTTGATCTAATCATGAGCATGACTGTGATGTTCCTTGGAGCACCACGAAAGAGGTACTTGTGACGACTGGACCGCCTAGCGCAGCGAAATTGATAAGGCAAGGACTGGGATTCCATGTCCTGGCTTTCTAACATCTCGCAACGACAACGCCACACTGTGATGTCTAATCACGGCCGAGATGGGACCACGAAATTTTGTCAGCATGAATAACCTTGACCATAAAACAAAGGTCACAAACGCAAAGGTGCCGTTTTCGGTAACACTAGTTCTCAGCGCAGCTGCCGTTCAGGCCTTGGCTTGGTCGGTCAGTACTATAGCAAATGTCGAACAGAGTTGTCGGTGATATTGGTACCTACTTGTACTTGATGCAGCTGTCATTATGTCTGACCTAGCCGACCTCGATGATCACGGACTACCTGAGCGCGTGACAGCGGATATGGATAGCTCGACCCATTCTCTTATCCGGCGACTGAAGATGAATACCAAAGGTCCAAGAACCAACTCCATATCCCGACTGTGTAAAGGCAGGTCCCCAGTTGACCTTTTTCCCAGCCCCACGTGGGAAACGATGCCGAATCGGTGGCAGTAGCAATAAACTCGTGAGGCGGACGACGAAGGACACACCCAAACCACCTCAATCGTCTTTCGTGGACGGCCTGAGATATCCTCGCGGGGTTGTCGCAGTGACTGAGGACTGCCTCATTTGAGACGCAGTCGGTGTACTCAACTCGAAAAGTGGTCCTCAGGCAGCGGTGATCACGACCAGCTCGGAATCCAACTTGGCTGGGCCTCGTCCTGGAGTCACAAAAAGTCTGGAATTGCCTGAGAAGGACAGTCGTAAGGACCTTCACAACAACGTCGATAAGGCTTCTGCCGCAGTAAATCGCATTTCCCTTCTTGAGGACGTAAAAGGATACCTGAGTCTCAGTCATCAAAAACGACTCCATCTGCCCACACTTGCTCGGAAATCTCGTGGAGATAGGACGCCTGAATGTCCACTCAGAACTTGCAGATTTCAATGAGAATAGCCTCCTCTCAGGGCGCCTTGTTGTTTCGTAGTCTCTGCAGTGCATCGGCAAATTCTTCCTCAGAAGGGGGGAGTCGCACGGTACTGCATAGGCTAGAGCGGGATAAAACTCCGCTGCAGAGGGGAGCGAGAGTGTGATAGGCTGTTCATCGAAGTTCAGAAGGTCCTCGAAGGGATCGCGATCGAAGTTGGCCGAGATCTCAGCAACAAAACCGCAACTCACATCGCGAACAGTCACCAAGTGCCGAGGACTCATCACTAACTGGGTGGATGGGGTGTAGGGGGTGTCAGCGGTGGGTTCACGTGATGGGCGTAGTGGTCGCTCACTTGCTTGCAGGTGAGACTACGCCTAGCGTCCATTTGCTGGCACCCAACTCTCACCTGTGGCTCCACGTAGCTGGGCTCTGCTCAGCGGCCACACCCTGGGCAACCGTCTCGACCGGCGGGCTAAACCAGGTGAGGGCGCTGTGCGCTTGTGCCGCGTGCACAGTGTACTGCGGACTCCGCTGGATGGATGGTCGGATGAAACACTGCGCCGGCATCGTCGAGACGAGGCTCTGCCTGGTACGCCGTTGAATAAAACCTGCCGGGACGGGTCTCCGCATCGCCTTCGCTGAGACGCGCCCACCCTCGCCGACGGAGACCGCGGACTCACGGCATATGCGGTCGTTCTCCACTACGAACATAAAAGTCGTGGCCCCATAGTGGGATCGGTCGCGCCAACCAGGCACATGGACAGCCCGATTCAGGGGCGGCACTGCCTGCCCCCATGAGGGGAAGGGCCTAGAAAAGGTGGCCTAAACATTGCTGGGTACCACGCCGTCTCCAGGCTAGCCAGGGCCGCAGACGTCTAATCATGGTCGAAACAATCAAAATCGAAACAACAACAATACCAATAACAACAAAAACCACACTCCTTCTCCTCATCCAACCTCTTCCTCTGCCCATTCTTCTCCTTCGTCACCTTCTTCTCCATCTTCCTCCCGTCGCCCCATTCGTCGTCACCAGACTGGCAGGGTGAGTCCGCTCACTCTGGCAGCCTGGAATGTTCGTTCCCTTTTAGACAATCCGCGGAGCAACCGACCGGAAAGGAGGACAGCGTTAGTGGCACGAGAACTGGCGCGCTACAAGGTGGACATCGCCGCACTCAGCGAGACCCGTTTCTCCGAACAAGGCCAACTGGAGGTGGGTGCCGGCTACACCTTCTTCTGGAGCGGTCGACCCAGGGCA